ACTTTAGGCCCTGTATATTTGAATTTGACTGACTCAAAGATATTGTATGTACAGATACACACAGGCATATCCTCACAGCTTCAGCACATGCAGGCTGGCGTTCAGTTACCCCTCTGTCAGTGGCCCATCCAGCCCAGTGGCTGCATGTCCTTGAGATCCTCTCTCCAGCTCTCCAATCTCTGTCTAGTCTATATTCCATTACATCCTCCACATCAGTTGCTCTGCCCAACATAAGTGGCACTCATATCCTCACACACAGCTTTCCAGCTCTTGATGCACGCTTTACAAAATCTCTAACTGCAGTGAGCAATGGTTGTCCTTGCTCATACATTGACTCAAACCCAAGCATGAGATAAATATTAGACTTTACTTTTACTGTGTAAAATATGGTTCTTGCTTCAAATAAGAAGCTTAGGCACTCTAGACCGGAAAATACAAGCACTGCTCATCTCAAATTGCCGCTCCCCCGGTTTTCATATTTTTCCTCAATATTGTGCAGTGTGTTATTGGACCTCATTTCTGTCACAACACTGCTACGGCTCTGCTCTGACTGATTATTGCCCAAAATTGCCTTGAGAATCTGTTTACTGTACAAATCTGTGATCATTACTTAAAGGACAGTGTAGTGTGCAGTTTGTGCAAAAGGCCATTTTCAGCCACTGCCACTTAAAAAAGCACTCTGAGCTGAAGTCTCTTGTGGATTTAACTCTGCATTCCCTTGCACTTCTGTTGTGAAGCTTCATTTGCTGGTCTAAACAGCTGCTGATTGACCTCAGACAGATGTCTCTTAAGGGTTTATGATGTTTGTTACATCACATTGTGTGTATGACAAACTTTTTTTTGTTTGTTTTATTCTGTTCTTTGTACTTGTGCTTTACAGTATAACTGTAAAACACCTTTTTGATAGATGTTCTTTAACTAATCAGTTACGTATTTTTTAAGTAAATGAGTTGTTACAGAAGCTGCAACAATTAGTCAATTAATTGATTAATCACAGAGAAATTTGCAGCTATTACCATAATCAATTAATCTTGCCATCCATCCATCCATTATCTTTGCCTCTTATCCTGAAGAGGGTCACAGGGGGCGCTGGAGCCAATCCCAGCTGACATTAGACGAGAGGCGCAGCACACCTGGGACAGGCCTCCAGTCTGTCACAGGGCTGACATAATCAATTAATTGTGTAGGTAATTTTTCATGCAAAAATTCACAGTTGCAGCTGCATCTGTGAGGATTTGCTGCTGTTGTGATCTCATTGTTCCCAAACCTGGGGGTCAAGTCAGCTTAAATGTGTTGCAAGTTGAACCTAATCACCACCCCAGGGTGCTTCACTGGCCGACTGCTTGTAGGACGTTAGACCCGGTCAGGTAAAACAACAAGTCCCTGTACAGGAACATTCCTGGACATGCAGTAAACCTCAGGCCCTGTATTTTTCTTCACATCCTCTGCTCACAGTGCAGCAGGAGGTAAAATATATCCACAAAACCAGGCGCAGTTTAAAAATTCCGCTTTTAAAATGGCACTGGTGGATGTCACATGAACGCACAGTGGCCTGGAGATTATGCCCATTCAAGGAGCTCCTTAAGCTATCATGTAATACTTTATTTTGTTAGAAAAAAGTTTGTGAGACTTGTATAAACCAAGTTGCTTCTGTATGGAAGTACTAGACCATATGTACATCTCATTTTTTGAGCTTTAGGTCACGTCTAAGATGATAATTCACTGTTGTAACATTGTAAATGCCATGGGCTCTTTAAGCAGTTCATGATCATAGCGGTAAATCCACTCTATACAGAGGACAGTTACCTAAAGCATACCTGACTCCTGGATTTCTTGTATTAGCTATCAGATTTATGCAGCGCTTAATCAGCAGATTTGTCTCAGTGTAGTTGAGGGGATTCAGTCTTCACCCCAACTTAACCTCAGTTAACATGTACGGTGCCAAAGCAATCCTGATTTTCCATTTTCCATTTTATCCCTTTATATCTACAGTATTGTTTATTAGGAAGATCTTGAGCATGGGTCATTGTATCACATTTATGTCCTGTGGAGAGCATAAACATTTCCCCCTGAATAAGACCCCATAAACCCTACTAGGTCACCATGTTTCCATTAAGGAAGCGAATAAAGGCAGAAATGGTAACCGAGCTTGTGCTGATTATCCAGTCATGAGAACCTCATAAAGAAATTGGAGAATTATTAGCCCCCCAATAAATTGTCTCAGGTCTTTTTAAAGTCTCTTCTCTGTCCAAGACACCACCAGGATCCAAAAATAATATACAGCTACAAACCTGAGCAGCAAAACCTTTGCCATCTGAACTGTCTGCAGAGAAGACAATGGATTTCAGCAACATGCACTGTTGTGCCCCAGGTTTTGAGCCTGAGCCTCACATCAAGTGACTCTACTTACACAAACTAGACAATGTATCCAGTGTGTTTCAGTATGAATGGGAGCCTACTCTCTGTTTTCTCCTGAAAGCCAGTGCTAGACCCTGAAGTTAAGACAAAAGATGTTCAAATAGGGATTTTTCTTTATAGGAACCTACGGAAATGTGTAGAGCTGAGTAACGCTTGTGTCACAGGTTCTGCTCCGCCCACTTTGGAGGTGCGTTCTGGGAGCTAAATTTCAGCACCTCTCAGGAGGTGCTGCTCGCGCAGAGCAGTGTCCTGTGATTGGTTAAATGTTGGTGTGTTCACACCTGCGCTATTAGCATTACAAGCACACTTTTCTTCTGTCTTCTACTTCTTCAACAGCTCTTTGATAAACTGCTCATACAGTTTCAGTTACTGGCTGATTGCTGCACTATGGAGTGATGCTTCATATCCTCTGCTCAGTTGTGTGTGTGTATGTGTGAGAGGACCACAGCCCTTCCCTCCTCTAAACACAAACCTACAGCAAAACATACAGTGGACAAGCAAAATAGGATGGTCTGCATCAGCCCATGAAGTTATGTGGTTGATGGATAAAGGGTAGCACTGGGTATACCATTCATTTGGTACTGATAGTGGAAACACAGCTAAAGCCAACACCAGAACTTCCTGTCCAACACTCTTCCTGTTCAAGAACAAAGTGCGTTGCATGAAAATTACAAAGTTGCAAAGCTACGTGCCTGCATTGAATCTATTTTTACCCATTTTTACCCCCTGGATTTGCCCTTGGGCTTTTGGCAACATGGTAGCATTAGTTTAGAGGATTTCAGATTTAGTTGTGATTATAAAAGGATGGAACAGGTTTTCTCAAAAGTGCATTAAAGGATCATGGTTTGTACTGGTGGCAGGGCAGTGCCATGCCCACAGAAATGTTCTGCAACAGGTAACTTCTCACTCTTCAGTCTCAGCAAGCTTTATGCATTTTGACTCACTACACTGTATTTGAACGAGCGCAGGCTCACAGTCAGTGCCACTTTAGTGGAAAATCCTGGTTTATTATCAGAATGATTTAGATGGTCCAAATTATTTTGCTTTTTCTTTGATATACAGCTACTGTAAACTGAAAAAATCAACTAGACTAGGATTTCTAGGTCGAAGACGTTTCACCTGGATGACTGAGAATCTGCACAGACATACAGCTACTGTAGCTTGTAGTTGTCAGTCAGCTCGCCTAGCTTTTTCACTTGCATAATTCGCAACAGATTGGCTGGAAGATAGATGGGTTTTAGGGTAGTGCTCAGACTTGCACAGCTTCTTGCATTCTGGCAGCGGTCTGTAGTAGACCTGCACAGGCTGTGGTCATGTAGGGTCTCCTGAGTCATGCCGCCTTGTTTAAATTGGATTGTGTTGTTCATTTGAGCTCAGGGTAGCACAGCACAGCTGGTTTTCCCTTCTTCCCTTCTTATTTAATGAAGAGGCACAATAATAATGCAGATTCCAGGACTGAGGCCCATAACTGGCAGACCACATCTCCACTTTGAGAAAAGTGTAATTTGATTACATTTGCACTGTTTCAGTCCAGAATCTATGCTGGCTGAAGTAAATAAGGTGGATTAACTGTGTCATAGGATAATGTGGACTGAGCTGGTAAACACAGTCACTAAGTGATGCATATGGCCTTTAGGGGTGGAGTTAAAGCTTTGTACATCACGGAAGAACAAGTGTGCACAGCTGAAAAGGCACAGTTCAAGCAGTCATGAATTTTTCATTTCACACACAGTGGTGTTGGTGGAACCGGGAACATTAGTGCTGCTTGAGCCCATAACACCTTCTTGTTCTGATGTATTTGTTTTCCCATTAAAATTTAGCCCTGATCTGGGAAATAATACTGCTAATGTAAGTAATGTAAGTGTTAAGTTATTCATCTGGTGGTTCTCTGGAGTGAAATGTCAGCATGTCTCTTGATCCCTGAAGCGATTCTTCCCCTGGGCGAGGGGAGTAGTCATGCCTGTTCTGAGATACAGCCGGGTCAATGAAAGCGGGGGAGGCAGCTGGACAAAATCCATTCCCAGAGTGAGTGTTCTGCTGAGGCAGGTATGCCGACCTTTCAGTCATCTGATAGGTCAACGCTCGGCAGCGTGCCTGGACATTCATGGCCAAGCGCCAGGCCTGGTGGTGCTCATAGTAAAGCTCATCTGAGCAGCAGCCAGCTATGATCAATGGAAACCCTTGGCAGCTCATTTATAGTAGAGTATGGCGCAGCCACACAGCACTCACTAACAGATGCAAATGACAATGGAGGGATGAGGAAAGAAAGACAGTTTACCCATGTGCACGGTGACCAGTCAGAATCTGCACAGCAGTCTCAGTGTAGGCCATGAGAGTTCAGTGCATCTTAGGCAAAATGTAATTGCACAGTAGTTTAGTCGATCACCTTGAAACTGCCACCCAATTATTATTTGTAAATTATTCTGGGATGTCTTGAATGCAGTGAGTTTTTTCTGCTTTGTCTGCAGGAATTCCTTGCAGAAGAATTTTTCTTTACCTTGTTGTCATGCATGTCACACTCCCTGTTGAGATATACATTAAATACCTTGGCTGTACTGAAAGCAGCTTCCTCCTCCATCCAGGTGCCCACGGAGTGAGAGAGGAGCCCCGGTTTGTGACGGCACGCGCTGGAGAGAGCGTGATCCTGGGGTGTGACGTGTCCCCTCCCCTGGACGGCCAGCAGCCTCCCTATGTGGTGGAGTGGTTCAAGTTTGGAGTGCCTATTCCCTTCTTCATCAACTTCCGCTTCTACCCTCCTCATGTGGACCCCGAGTACACTGGTGAGATTAATGTGGATGTAAACTCAGAAAGAATACATTGAGAAAAGTGTGTGGTGTCTGTAAGGGATTTAGTTTAAAACTAACTAGTCTAAGAGCCAGTTTATGGTCTCGCACAGCTAGTTTGTACTACGTTTTGTTCAAACTATGTCGGACAGAACGCATATTGTGTATAGTCAGTACAGTATATTACAAAGCCCCATGCGCTGTACATATAGAATAGAGGCTTACAAAGAAAAGTAATCTAATAAAAGCAGGAAAAGCTTTGCTTCCATGAGGAGCTATACTGAAGAAATTTATGGCATCAGTATATGATTACATTAAGTACTGTATTTAGCTTTACATTCATCACAGCATCACACAATGTTAATCTTTCTCTTGTGGCTTAGACAATATGTCTGCAACTGCCTTCACACAGACTACTTACAGCAGGAAATTGGTTCTTCTGATGTTGCTTCACTGTCTGTGACAAGATGGCGAGCTGTCAGATTGAGGTCAGAATTATCCCTTCCTGTTCCCACCTCTTTACCAAGTACAAAACCCCGGCCTGACTTGGTAATATGCTGTGAAATAAAGGCAAAGCACAGCTTGTAGAAAAGCTGGAGGATTCTTTTCCCTAGTGTGAGTGTCCTAAATGTAGACATAACAGATAATTCTTTTTTTTCTTCTCATTTATATGAATAGAGTGAAAATTGAATTTATTGAAATTCCTCCCAGTGGGCTTTTCAAGCAAGGTCACCACTGAAAAAAAGCCTAATGGCAGTGACTCACTGACGGGGGACCTGTCCTTTTTGATACCATAGCCGCTGGAGCATTTCATTGTTTACTTTAACCTCCTGACTAGTAGCAGCGTGAGTGAACAGCGCTTTTCAAAGAGCATCGCACTCCTCTGCGCTCACTCGGGCTCTAGTAGTGGGCATCTGCCATGTGGTGTCGGGTCCACTGTTGAGGAATTACCAGAGAACAGATGCAACATGAATATGGCCAGTCTCATTACATAGATTAAAGTGTATTCTGGGGATTGCACGTGCATGGTGACAATGTGATAATGACACTGGGCTGTAGATTATGAGAGTGCTTAATGGGTCCGTGCAGTCTCAGAGCTCATTTGGGCTATTCCCATGAATTGTTACCACTCAGCATGAATAAAATTGGTGAATAGAGTGAATGTGCTATTATTCCATCACACAGCTGCTATTATCCATGAATACAGTATGTAACAGTATGGACAAATCCAAATATTTTCACAGCACAGAGTAGTGCAGATCTCATTTTTGATTCCAGTGATGTTAAATCCATCCCGTTTCAGTGCAACTCAGTGAGCATTGCCACTGTTCAGTTTCCAGTCTTACTAACTGTTAAAAGACATTACAATTGTGAAAAAAGACATTATATTAACTTTAATATTTCCTTCAAATGTAAGAGAAGACGTTTTCTCATTACACACTATTTTCCATGGCTACTTCACTACTAAATGAGAAATGGTATCTCCTTATCCCGAGTTTGTCTTGCAGCTATATGGAAATTACAACATTTAAAAACATATTTTTGTGCCCACTCAAGCAAAGATGCAATCAAAAATTCAGATGTGTAGTTTGTGGAAATTTTAATGCCAGATTCTCACACTTTGGAACGAGCTGTCGGAAAATTAAATCATACATCTGTGAGCGACAGTTTTAGCCCCAAACGGCACAAAAATAATGGTAGATTGTCTTATAGTTAGGCTACGTAGCACTTATCTACTCACTGAAGTGCACTCAAAGCATCTTATACTACTTCCCATTCACTCATTCACACACACAAACACTCACACACCAGTGGCATCACTGGGAACATCTTGGGGTTCAGTGTCTTGCTCACGGACACTTTGACATGCAGACTGGAGAAGCCAGGGATCGAATCGCTGACCCTACTGACTCGCTCTGCCTCCTGAGTCACAGCTGCCCCCTATTAATGTGGATAAGTATTTATATCTGTTGTTAATATTAGATTGCTACAGATTTGAGGTAACATTTTTCTTGCTGTTAAAAATATGAAGGTAACTCTTTTCATGGCTTTGTCATTTGCTTTTTTCTCCACTGCAGTTCAGTTGTAAGCATACAGTTAAAAACATTCAACCTCATAGCTATAGCTCCAAGGTGATATCTGATAGCCACGATATCCTCCACTGTTCAACAAACCAGTGGTGACACAGATGCAAAGCCATTACTTAACACAGGCTTTATTTTTAAGTAAAATCCCACAATTCTTTAGTGATTTGTTTGCATCTGTCTTCAGCTGTTTTTAACAAATGTAACACAGTAAATCACTAAACTGAGGTGATTTATCTGGTTTGTGACCAGACTAGCTCTGCAGTTACCATGTTGGAATAAAGCCTGAGTGAATGCTCTCCAGTTAACATAATATGGATTTTTCCCATGCTTAACATTTGCACAGAGTAAATGTTTTAAAAACACAGTTTAACATACTAACATAAATAATGACTCCATGATTCCATTCAGGCATTGGAGGTTCAGGCTCTTGGTATCATTACTGCTGTGCCCACTGACTTATTTTACCTGAGGCTGCTTTTGAAACCACTTCCTTTTTATGCTATTTCTGCATTCACTCAAAGTCAAACTGAATGAGCAGAACAGGAAAACCTGCTGCTGCTCGCTTTAGTGCTTGTACATAACGGTACTGGTTTAAACAAAGAATACATGTGAACTCTGCCCTTTAGCCATATTTGTTCCTCATGTAATCCTGTCTTTGAGATTAAAAGTTAAGCGTACCACACTGTCCGCCAGCTGTGTCACTTTGGATCTTTAGGATTTCCTCTTCGAAGCTGGTGATGTGATCTAAGCAAGCCTGTGTTTTCACAGTAGACAGAACCCTATACTGTGTAAGTGGTGTATGCCCAGGGGGACGGTCCTGACGTAGATACAATGCTGTTAACTCTGCTTACAGCAGCACCCTCTCACTTCTTGACAAATAGTGGGTGAGGTTGATCCCTACCCTTCACACCACCTCCCACCCCATTCAGCACTTAAATGCCCAGGCAAAAATAGACCTGACTTTTTAAAGACAAGCTACCTTTTAATGCAAGACTGCAGTCCCCTCTCCTCTCCCCTCCCCTCTGCTGTATTCATTTTCTGATAGCAACTATAAATGCCCCATGGCAGTCCCATGGTTGGGCTGTGTATTTATTACTTTTATATACAGCCTGCCTTAATATACTTACCTGGGACTCGGGCTGAAGTTACAGGAAACAGGGCTTACGATCACCTAAACAACATTTTGAAAAATGCTCATCAGGGCGGTGGTTCAAATCCTGTTCTACCCAGTTCGCATGTCGAAGTGTCCTTGGGCAAGACACTGAACCCCAAGTTGCTCTTGATGGCCAGAGAAGTGCCTTGCAGGGACAGCGCCACCATTGGTGTTTGTGTGTGTGTATGTGAGCTGGCGCCACAGATGGATGCCTCAGTTCTGTACTGGAGACAGGTTCCTTGTGTGTGTAACATACTTGGCCAAAAAAAAGTGATTATCGTTATCAAGAGTGGAAGCAGGTGTTGGGCTGTCAGAAGCAGCCGCGTGAGCAGTGGGCTGGAGGCTTGATGACAGACAGCTTAGCCGCTGAAAATTCCACCATGCCTGGTTTCCTGAACTTCTCCCATCCCTTCTGCTTTTCTCTTTTTTAGAATTTCATTTTACCTCAGCTTTGTAGAAAAAAAACGGGTTGGAATTGAGAAGTTTTATGAGAACCGGATGGTCTTTCTGATATTTTTCCACACTGACACCAAATACTTAATTTTAATTCAGCTGAAGTTGTGACTCCAAGGTAGTTTTTATGTATAAATCCTAATACTTAAGCAGAGTTTTTTATTCATTTATCATTAAATACTGTGACATTCAAAGGAATAGCTCAACATATTGGGGAATACATTTATTTACTTTCATATGTCATATACCCCTTATGCTACAGCCAGAAGTTATTGCAAACAATTTTCAACAGAAAGCAGCTAAAGCCGGTCACTTGATGACTATATACAATAATTTGCTTAATAATTCTGTCATAATGTAACTCCTCCGTTTACATGTATCCAACATATGAACTAATAGTAGTAAACTCTGTGTATTTAGAAAAAGCTTAAAGGTTAAAAAGTTGAATTATGTTTAATTTAATATCAAGGAAAACACTGAAGAAGGAGCTTACCCAGACAAATGATGGTCATTTGATAAGCCTGCATTTACAGCTCATTCATACTTCATTCTGGTTGCTGATCGGTGGACTGAATGTCCACACACTGCACACAGCACATTCACTGAGAAATATTAGCAACTGTCCTTCAGGGAAAGTCGTTAAAATGTGCCCAGAAAGTCACTGGATTTGTCATTAATCACTTTCTAGTGCTACCTGTACTTGCCCATATTTCCAGTTTTTGTAAATCTAACATTAAGATGACATCTCCATGCACTTCAGTATTTGTATGGATTACACAAAAAACACAGATTGTGTTATTTATTCAGCTTTACAGGAGGTGGTGAACAAATTCTGTTAAAAGAGCTGTTTCCTCTCATTTCCAGTCTTATGTTAAGCTAAGCTGACAGGGCCTCTTGCCTGTATTTCTATACTTAAGTGGTATCAATCCTCTCACTCAACTCTTGGCAATAAGGCACATGTTTCCCTTAAAACTACAAACAGAATGATTTTGCTAATAATCCTTTGAGTGCGGACATACCTAGAGTCTGTGTACTCTTTGTATTTGTTTGTATTTCCTCCAGCACCCAAAAGACTTGGGAGTCAGGCTGATTGAAGGGTTTAAAGATATGGATGTACAGTAATTGTTAAGGATTGTCTGTCTCTGTTAGCTCGGGGAGAGGCTGGCAGCCTGGCCAGGGTATTTTTCTGCCTCCCATGCAGTACTTGGACAGACTCCAGACTGTTGTACTGCCTGAATAGGAATAAATAGGTTAAAGAAAAACAAACTTGGGTTTTGTGCATTAAAATAGGCTTGTGTTTGGACTTATTTTAATAGCTAGCAGTTCAGAGTATGAATCTGGAGAGCCCTTGAAGAGAAAATGAAAGTAGGAGAAACAGAAATTCATGTAATGTTGTGCTTAATCCTAATAACAGAATGCTCACTGGAAGAATATTTGTTTTTTAATCACTATAAAAGACAAAGAAAGCATAATTTTAGCATCTGGTTTCAGCTCAACAATCTTACATCATGACTTCTAAGCTACTGTAGATGCAAAATGATAACCCAGCGCATCATCAATCTGTTTCATGATGCAAGTGAACAAAAAAGGATAAAGTGAAGCACTTAGCCTCCAACGGCTTTGATGGATCTCTGTGGTGACCAGCAACGATGTTGGGGGCGGGTTTAAATAGAGAAGCCGACCACTGCTATAGAAGATCGTGCATAGGTCTTGAAAAGCAGAAAAAAGATGAATGTACAGTGCTGAAGTGGTTAATTCTAGTTTTTCCCCATCTTCCTGCAGGTAGAGCCTCATTGCATGGGAAGGCCTCCCTGCAGATTGCCCCGGTGCGCTCTGAGGACCAGGGTTGGTATGAGTGCAGGGTCCTGATGCTAGAGCAACAGTACGACACCTTCCACAACGGCAGCTGGGTGCACCTCACAGTCAATGGTTAGTCACATGACCATAAAACCTGCTCTCTGAAATGGGAACATGTGTTTGTGAGTGGGTAAAAAAGCCTCCACACAATGAAGCTTAAGCTCTAATAGTCTAATGTTTGTCAGAGTATGTTTTAGACACATAGCCTCAAACCTCTCAAGGCCTAAAGTGCAAAGAAAACACACAGGCTAATTATCACATAGTTAACCATTAAAGGTCTTTCAAAAAATTCACATCAAGGTAAGAGACAAGAGTCTGGTTAGAAGAGAATTGATTGTTGCCTGTTTAAAGTGGTTCCATCAGGGATGATCTGTGAGAGCTATCAAACTGATGACCAAGCAGAAAAAAAAATCTGCATCTTTGCATTTCCCAGGAATGTGCCAGCGGCTGAGAGAATCCTGCGTGAAGTGTGCCTCCACAGAGACTACATAGACAACGATGCCTTTGTGTTTCATATGAAGAATGCTTTCCACATAGATATTACATTAAGCTGCCTCATATGTTTTAGTGCAGGTGTAATTGAATAAATGCTTGCTGTTTGCAGATGAAAAATGCAGCAAAGCAGCAGGGAGGTTGCTAAAGCAGTATGTTTAATTTTATAGCAGCATTGTATTCCTCTGATTTGTTTACTTATTTGGCTGGAACTGGCTAAAATCACTGGTGTAATATTTCCTAAATAGGCATTTAAAAAAAGCTTTTGGCTAAATGTATTATTTTCTGATGCTACAGCTTCACAGGTGTCTATCTTCAGAGAGCTGTAACCCTCTGCGTTGTCACAGAGTGACTTTGCGAGCAAAATACTGTCAAGCTCGTTCACATGTATATTTTTGCTCTGTGAACTTATGAGTGCTGTATGAAACTCATGCATATGCTTTACAACAGATGCAGTTCTCATATTTGAAGAATGATTACGCTGGATGTATGTGAAATACTGCACTGTGTAAAGACCCCGGTCTATTGCACTGCACAGTCACTTCAGGAAAGGAAACAGCAATGTGTATAAATGGTTATTATCAAATCAGAACATAATGTTTCCTTCAGTGTGTATCTGTGTGTCCAGGTGTGAGAGTACACCCCACAGTTCCTTGCTTTCCTGTGTTCTGTGTACAGCGTATTACATCAACATTGACGTGAGAGCCTCTCATTGTGTGTGTTTGTATGCAGCTAAATGAGAGCGCTGTCTGCTGGTTGAAGTTGTGGTGAAAGCGTGAATAGTCATACTCTGCCACCGAGTGTCACCTGCACACTCTCGTGAGGTTTGGAGTTTGTGAACGTCTGTGTGCGCGCGCGTGTGTGTGTGTATGAATGTCTAGTTGTGTAGGCATTCCGCATCTCTGTATCTTGCCTCATCAGTATTCACTTTCAACCGCTCCCTCCCTCTTCTGCTGCTCTCCACTCCTGTCAGGTCTTTCAACAGAAACTCAGTTTTCCAGGCTGTAATCTCCCTGAATTGTATATGTATTTGGTATTTTAAATTATGGAATTTTACACAACCTGATATATGTGATGTGTGTATGTTATGAGAAGTTTTGTTCATTTCTTTCTTCCACTGTCAGAATTGCATACATAACATCAATAAATCATTAGCTGTTGTTACGGTTTAGTCCCCCTCACCAGGAGGGTGAGGGAGAACTGGGGTTGGACTCAAAATGACTGACCCAGGTGCTAGTACAAAAAAGGTGGTTTAATGGGATAAAAACAAAGTGACAACAGGCTCCATAATACATACAAGGGAAGGGCAGTGATGACTCAGGAGACCAGGACGGTAAACACACAAACTAACGACAGGAACTAGAATAGTAGGAGGATGAGAACGGACAGGTAAACAAAAAGAACCAACGTAAACAATGCAATCCACAGCACAGAGACTGTCAGCGTAGCATCTTACACACGTCTAAAAATATGCGGGTCAAACACAACATTTGTAACTTACATAGGGTAAGTATTGTCCATTACATGTCGCGATGCTCTGGCGACGACGGGGCGTCTGCCAGAGGTATAAAGAAGGAAGCCAACAAATCACCGGAATACGCCTCAGGTGTGCGCACCGACCCACGAGTCACTAATTACCCGATGCGACACAGCTGAGGCGTTGATCCCGCAAAAAGGGAGAGTAGGAGAGGGAAAAAAGAAAGAGAGGCAGGTCGCGCCGAGCGGACCTGACAGTGTAACTAAGTATATACAGTACAGTACAGTACTGATGTATACTTAGACATATAGGCAAGAGCAAAATATAGTTTTATGTGGCTCTTATTTGAATAACAAAGAGACTTTTATGCAAATATCAGAAGCAACAGTTCTATCAGTGTCTAGACATATAACGGGAATTTATATGAAGACTATATGCTACTGTTATCCTCTAAATGGGTGTCTGTGAGGGGAGCAGGTGCCACTTTTGACTGGCCTCCACAGAGACACTAAGGGCACCCATTTCCTTTGGCCACTGGTATTTGCATACACTCCTCTTTTGAGTTCCTGTTTGCTGGCATTCACTTCCTGCCAAGTGGACAGGGAATTCATGCCCACGCAGTGGCAGGTGTCAGATGGCAAGGCCTATTGCCTGAGAAAGACACTAAGGCCCCTCTCATTCATTGGCCTCCCTCCTTCTCATCCTCTCTGGTCTTCTCTCCCCTGTCCGTCCCTTCTGTTTACTTTTCAAGCTTTTGCAAGCTATGCAGAAATAAATAAAGCACTTAACACCATACCAGCATTTTTACATTACTCTAAGTTAACCATCTACACTTATACATCAAATATTAAACCCTGCCATGGTGTCACTGGATTAGTGATGGGCTGGTATTTAGGGCCCATGTGGCCGACTCACTTGGGGCCCAAATGTCAGCTCAGTTGTCTATGCTTTCCATATATTTCCTATGTGTATCTGGTCTGATCTGGCACTAATGAGCCCAGTGTGGCTACAAGAGTGCCCACTGTGTGAACAGTCATGCTCAGGGCCATGCAGGACCCCGAGCTGCAAATTTAAATAGTAAGCTAACTTTAGTTTTTCCTCTGCATTTGGCCCCAAATTGTTCACATTTGTCAGGCCACTAACCAGGTGTGGCCTATGTATACAAATGGTAAAACCCTTAAATATCAATGTATAGTATTCAATTTTCCAGTCTGAGGCCATGGTTTTCTACTGGAGTGAGTGTCGAATGGAATGTGAGATTGACAGGTGGACTGGCACAGTGTTGTGGACCATTACGGTGAAGAGGGACCTCAGCCAAAAGTCAAAGCTTTCAGTTTACCAGTCCATTTTTGTTCCAACCCACACCTACAGTGATGAACAGAAGTATTTGAACACCCTGCGATTTTGCAAGTTCTCCCACTTAGAAATCATTGAGGGGTCTGACATTCACATTGTAGGTGCATTCCCACTCTGAGAGACAGAAAAAATTTTTTTTCAGGAAATCACATTGTATGATTTCTAAAGAATTTATTTGTCTTGCACTGCTGAATATAAGTATTTGAACACCTGAGAAACAGCAAGAATTCTGGCTCTCAAAAACCTGTTACTGTGCCTTGAAAAAGTCCACCTCTACTCCACTCATTAATCTAAATTAGTAGCACCTGTCTGAGCTCTTTAAAGACACCTGTCCACCCCACAGTCAGTCAGACGCCAACTACTACCATGGGCAAGACCAAAGAGCTGTCAAAAGACACCA